TGCGTGCGTGCGTGCGTGTGTGTCTGTGTGTGTGTGTGTGTGTGTGTGTTTAGCGGGTGCCTCTGTTTGCCTCCTGGAACCTGTGTGAGGAGCACATAGCGCCCCCTGGTGGTAGTGGTACAGAAGGGTGAGGAGTTGTGTTTGGTCCTTTTGTAAGGGACACAGAGCACAAAGCACAGAGCATAGAGCACAGAGGAGGTTCTGCATCAAGCTGCCTGAGGAAAAGGGAGAGTGTATGTTCTCATCCCTGGGGGACAAGGGGATGTCCTCATGCCTCCTACTCAGGCAGCCAGGCACGGATTAAAAAGTGATTCACACCAGTAATCCAAATGACATCACTAAACACCAGCCACATTTTTTATGATTCCAACATAGCCTTTGACATACTGGCATCATCTTGTTTAGGAGTCAAGGCCTGGGACTTTACCTAATTTAGATGTCAGACTGGCAAAGAAAGCAGAAAGCCTGTCTGTTGGATTGGTTGTGCTCTCAGAATCCTGGCCCTACCTGGGGAATTTCCAGGGGACTTCCATACATATGTCTCCCCTAGACCTCACTTCCTGGAGGACTGACAAGGATGGGAAAAGGACCAGACAGAAAGATGTCTAAATGAAGATCGAAAAGCATAGGGAGGTCTAAGGATTTTTGAGATGGTGAAAGGTGGTATTGGAAAGGCAGAATAAGGCCTTACATTATTATTTTTTAAACTATATTTATTTGGAGCTGGAGAGATGGTTCAGCAGTTAAGAGCACTGGCTGCTCTGCTCTTCTGAAGGAGCTGGGTTTGATTCCCCCCGGCACCCACATGATGGCTCACAACCATCTGTAATGTCATTTCTAAGGGTCCCACGTCGTCTTCTGACTTCCTTGGGCAGTGGACCCACAAGTAATGCACAGACATACATAGAGGCAAAACATCCAAACAAACTTAATAAAACATTTAAAAAAAGATGAAATTGCATTTATGTATTTGTGTGCCAGTGTGTATAGGTACACGTGTAGGCCAGTGTGTATAGTGTACCTGTGTAGGTCAGAGGACAACTTGTAGAAGCCATCTTCTCTCCTTCCACCATCTAGGTCCCAGGGGTCAAACTCAGTTTATCGGGTGTGGTAGCAGCTTTATCTGCTTGAGCTATCTCAACGACCTGAACCTTAGGTTTTCCAAAAGATCCATTATATCTTAATACCCTTGGGTATTTTATGCCTCATCTAGTGACTCTTGAATAGGAATCTTGAAATGTTGCTTCTGAGAATAAACGCAGGAGCCCTTCTGACAAACAGACACTCTGGAAGTTTCTCTGGGCATCTTCACTTGTCCCGAGTGGGTGCGGGGAGAGTGGGTGAGTGGCACAAGTGGGGATCCACAATGCCTGCATTCTATTTCCAGCTCCTATCCCTGACTCATGGAATGACCTTGCTCGGGTCGTGGCTCTGTGTTTCGTGCAAGAGGAGGAAATATCAGAGGTGGCAAAGCTTTTATTTTCCCAAGGAATGAGAGACTTCAACAGCAAGGGGGGGGGGCACTCCTGATTCTCATGAGCCTCAGCCTTGTCCTGTTGATATTAATTAACAAAACAAAACAACAGTTAGATTAGGATTCAAGGGACTTTGGGAGCCACTGAAAGCAAAAAGCAAAGACAGGGAGATTTGTGGCTATTTTTCCATGCATGGCTTCTACATTTTCCAAGTCACGTTTCCACACAAATAATTCCCTTCATGTACTTGCACTGTCCATGCAAAGATAGAGGAAGCATTTCCTCTTAATTTCAGGACAAGGGAGTCACAGCCAAGGAGAGGCATTTCACAGTTGTTTTGTTTTCTGAAGCCCCTTGCATTATTTTGCTATCAAGCATGGCCCTGTTTTGTGAGTGCTCCATGGCTAAACAGGGTTCGTACACTGGGAAGAAAGAGACTGTTTTTGCTGATCAGAGTCACCCATGAGTGAGCGCCGTCTTTACTCTGGGTGTCCTGGATAAAAAGCCCACCTCTCCCCAGGCTCAATTTTAACAGACAAGGTCTGGGAAGTCTTCAGAAAGACAAAGGAGCCTGCCCTGTGATTCTGTGGTCAGTGGCAGGGGCAGGACCAGATGTCCAGGGAAGAACTTGGGATCTGATTCGCAGTGTAGTCTGGCTGAGTCTGGCTGCAGCTAGCCAGACTCCATGACAGGAAGACACCTATGCAAGCTCGCTAAACCTACAACTCCAACAATTCTCTGCCTCAGTGCAAACAGAACAGAGTTCGAGGCTGAAAAGGGCAACAGCTCTCTTTTCAGGATACCTTCACAGAGTTTAGGGTGGCGGCGTGTGCTTTTTTTCTGGCCACCTTCTTGCATCTTCAACAGAATCAAGGTGGCTAAGGCACGTTGTGGCACAATGTGGCTGAGGATCACCCACCTGACCCTTTCCACCCCACAGTGGCTCTTCAAGAGGCCGAACCCCTGAAACTGAGGATTGCAGGGCATTCTGCAGACCCAAGAGGGTCTAGATACAAGACAGGGGACCTCAGGACTGCCTTGGTGGCCTGGGTGTGGGCAAGGGAGAGCTACCGAGGGGGCCACACCCTGCTCCTCCTGCGGCTCACGCAAGTGTTATCTAGTCTCTTGGGCCCTTGGCTCTGCTCCAAAAGCTCAACTGCCTGATCCCTGGCTCAGAGGCACCAACTGGCTTCCAAACTGCAAAAAGAGGTCATCCAACTCCCTTCCAAACTGAGAAAAATACCCAGACTTAGCTCTGAGGCTTTGGAATAGCTGGCTCCATCACTCTCCAGCAGAGCCAGGGGCAGGGGCAGTGGAGGCCCATAACTGACAGCTGTTCCCTGGGTTATTTTGGGCCAGGGGCTGAGCTTTTCAGTTCCAAGGTATTGGGATTAAAATAGCCACCTGCAGGGCAATTTTCCTTGTAGCTCTGCGGGGCTTTCCCAAGGAAAAGATTCAGAGCCTGAGTGGGGAGAGCAGAACAGGGACTTGGCTTGAGGAATGACAAGGAAGAAATTCTCCCGTGGTCTAAAACCAGTCTCACCTCTGTGGAGATGGGCTCTAAGCCTTGGCATCTCTCTGACCAGATCAATTTCCTGGGGCATCAAGACGAAGGGCTGGTGGGGAAAGGAAAAGGTTGGTAACTCAAACACTGCTTCTGGCTTTCCTCAGTCCTCAGAGGGAGTGATGAGATGTTAGTTAGCTTTCCATTTCACAGATAGTTCCACAGGAGTTCAAGGGATACTAGGAGACTCCAGGTCACTCAACCCCCTTCCAAACTGCCACATTGCCTCTTGCTTGGGCCTTGCTCAGAGCTGCAGTGTGGGTACTGGGAATCAGAGACACAGTGTGTGTGCTTGGAGGATGAGTTCCATCCCTAAGCTCAGGACCAGCATAGAAAATACTGCCTGGCCCTGGACATCCTTCTAGTCATAGCGGGACCTTGGCAGTTACCCGCCTGGCTCACACCCTCCTCCTGGAGGAGGTGGGGCAAAAGCAGGTGGGAAGAAGGAGGGAAGCCCAGCCTTCCTGGAGCCGCGCCGATGCTCAGCTTCGTAGCCCCAGGCGGGGACTTGACAGCTTGCGGGCATTGTCCGGGACTTGGAGCTGGAGTGACCTGGGCCCTGTTGGCTGACACCAGGGTGGCGCTCCCGGCGCATGCCCCAGACACGCCCTACGGAAATCGCTCCAGGGATCCGTCACTGAACTTAATCTTGAGCACCGCTGGCCAGGTCCGTGCGACAGGTCCCACTTCCCCGCCCGAGTGGGTCGCGCTGGCCTCCCTCCGCAATTCCCACCTGTGCCTTGGAATGTTCCAGAGGGTCGGTTTCCTGTGCGGGTGAATCCTGCGCCCAGCGCCTCTCCTTTGCCTCCTCCCTCCCCGCCGCCCGGACACCCCGGGTCGCTCTGTCCCCGCTGCACTCTCATCGCCCCCGCGCGCCTGGCGCAGCCTCCCCGCCCCGCGTCGCTGCCCCAGGGCTCTTGGCGCCCCGCCGCCAGGTCCCCGCTGCGCCTACCTGGTCCCGAGAGCCTTGTCCTCCGGAGTCCCCGGGGCCATGAGTCTCTGTGCTGTCCCCCGCCGCCCAACTGGCGCCGCTGCAGCGTTGGGGCTCGGTAGCCTGCTGGTACTGCTCGGGCCGGGACGCGCGTGCCCCGCGGGCTGTGCCTGCACCGACCCCCACACCGTGGACTGTCGCGATCGCGGGCTGCCCAGCGTGCCCGATCCCTTCCCCCTGGACGTGCGCAAGCTGCTAGTGGCCGGCAACCGCATCCAGCGGATCCCCGAGGACTTCTTCATCTTCCACGGAGACCTGGTGTATCTGGATTTCAGGAACAACTCGCTGCGCTCGCTGGAGGAGGGCACGTTCAGCGGCTCGGCCAAGCTGGCCTTCCTGGACCTGAGCTACAACAACCTCACCCAGCTGGGCGCCGGCGCCTTCCGCTCGGCGGGGAGGCTGGTCAAGCTGAGCCTGGCCAACAACCACCTGGCCGGTGTGCACGAGGATGCCTTCGAGAGCCTGGAGTCGCTGCAGGTGCTGGAACTCAATGGCAACAACCTGCGCAGCCTCAACGTGGCGGCTTTGGACGCGCTGCCGGCGCTGCGGACTGTGCGCCTGGACGGGAACCCCTGGCTGTGTGACTGCGACTTCGCCCACCTCTTCTCCTGGATTCAGGAGAACGCGTCCAAACTGCCCAAAGGTGAGCCAGGGGGTGGCTGCAAGCCAGGGCTGGGTGGAGGAGGGAAGGAGAGGGGAGAGTCCAGCACGGTCTGGATGTGTGGGGCCTCGCTTTGGGGACTCACCAGCAAGTCCCCTGAATGAGAACCCCTGCGGCTGTAACTCCACAAGACCAGCTGCCAGAAATTCTCCTGGGTGTGCTGACAAAGCCAGTGAGAGAGAGAGAACACATCAGGAACTCTCCCAAGTTTCTCCCTTTCTTTGCCTCCTACCCAAGTTTAGGACTCGCTTTTTTTTTTTTTTTTTTTTTCTAACGCTGTGGTCCACATCCTCCTGTCTGGGAGCTTTTGAGTCCTGGGGCAGGTGTGTGTGAGCAATGTACCGGTCACTCCTAGTGGGAAAACGGCATGCTGTGTGGGACACCGTGCCATTCCCAGAACCCAGAGGAGCTGGCCAGTCCTGAACGTGGTCTAGCTGCCACAGACATTCTAAACCGGTCCCTCTGTTCTCAGCTGTCCTTGACTCTTCAGTCCACCCCTGGTGAGGAAAATTCCAGGTGGGGACAAAGGTAGCCTAGATGTGGAAATGTGGGACAGAAACTTTTCGGGTAGGCACCTCCCCTGTGTTCCTGCTGCCCCGCCTGACGACCCACACACATACCCAGTTGGCTGATGGGAACGCAAGGGCACTGGGAACAAAGCAGGAAGGAAGGAAAGGCAGAGCTGAGAAGGCAGGGCCCCCAGGCAGGTGATGTCCTTACCTTGGGCGGAGCCCACGCTTTTCTATTTGAGCCCGGGAGCACTGGCCCAAACTGACCTCTCAGAAACAGCCCCTAAAGCTTTGGTGGAAATGTCCACAGTCCTGTATCGCAAACGTTATCAAAAGTGGCGTGGCTGTGAACTTCTCTTTATTCCTCCCAATGAGAGCTCATGAGCACTGTTCCTCTGTGTGTGGAATTCCTGTGTCCTCCTGTTCACCCCACAGGGTCATAGGCACACCCCCTGAGCCCCGCTGGCACCGAGAGGGCAAGTGGGCGGTATTTTCTCTCCGTAAGAGCTCTCCGATGTGAACAGTTCCTAAAGATCTGGCCCGCAAGATGCAGTCTCCCGGGTTTGAAACGATGCTCTGGTTCTCCTGCCTGGCTCCCCAGCTCTGCCAGGAGTGACAGGAATGTCCTGTCAAAGCCCTCACTTGGGAAAGGGTCACCTTGTCTTTGATTGCCCCTGTCTTGGTGACTGCTTCTCAAAGACTGCCTGTCCACTACCGGACTCCTGCCATCTTCCAGTTGGCAGGAGTTTAGGTTCTGTTTTCAGCCCTGCCTTGGGCATCTGGGAACTCGACCGGGCCCTTAACGCTTCGATGCCTTGGATTCTTGTCTCTTGAGTACTTGGGCTGACCTCTGAGACCTCCACAGAGCCTGAGGTCAGAGTTGGAAGTCAAGGGTGTGAGTGTTGCTTTAGGGTTCTGGGAACTCTGCGTAGGCCACCTAAGGTTTTTGAAGCCTTTTTCACGTGTTGCCAGGATCAAGACACAGTAATGAAGGCATAACCCCAGAGCAGGTGGAGCTGTTACTCTTCCCACATCCATCATCCATGGGAGAAAATGGACAGCAGGTGGACATGTGAGGCTGGGGGAGGCTGGACAGCCACTGAACAGAAGATCGTGAGAGGGTCCAGGGGATAGGGCAAGGCTGGGAGAAAGACTAGCTTCATCCAGCCAGGAGAGAAGGGGACAGCTGGAAGACACCTCCCGGGGCACAGAGCCAAAGACAGCTCCAGTCTCGCTGCAGCTGCCCACAGAGTGTGGCCAGGGCAGTGTCCCCAAAGTGAACCAGGGCGGGGAGGGTGAAGGAACTGGCTCAGGCTGAGAACCGAGTGCAAGACTCAGGTTCTGATCTGGACTCAGATCAGATCAGGTTCCGGATGGGGCCCCTGATCTCCCCAAACCTCGGTTTCCCTGCTTCCGAATTCAAAATGTGGCCATTGTCCTCCCTCCAGCTGGGAGGGTTAACAGCAGTCTGCTCGATGAAGGACACCATGATGTCCAGCAAGCCAGGGATGCCCAAGATGGGTTAATCTCCACTCCCTCCCGCAACATACCAGACAGTTTTTCAAACTTTAATTGACGTGTGGTAATTGCACAACAGTGGGGCACATAACATGATAATTTAATACAGGTATGTGATTGTAGCTATGAAATAAGATAACTTTACCATTTCTAGTACCATTAGCCATTGATTGTGTCTTTGTTCTGGCTTCCTGCAGGCTCCTCCCGGCCTTAATAAATGATAAATATGTTGATATTGGTGGATCAGAGATAGCTCAGAGGGCTTGCCACACAAGCGTGAGGACCAGTCCCCAAGCACCCATGTAAAAATCAGGCGTGATGGTGTGTGTCTGTAATCCCAATGCTAGGGTGGGATGATGGGTGGAGACAAATGAATCCCAGGAGCTCATTGGCCTGCCAGTCTAGCTGTGTCAGGAACTTCCAGGCTCAGAGAGAGACCCTCTCTCAAAAAAGGTGGTGGCTGGGGCTGGAGAGATGGCTCAGTGGCTAAAAGAATGTACTGCTCTAGGAGAAGATCAGAGTTCAGTTCCCAGCATGGGGCTGTATGTAACTCCTCCTCAGGGGATCCAACGACCTCTTCTTGCCTCCCTGTGTACTACACTCATATGGTCCACATAGCATCCGCACAGCAGACCTAGACCTGTACACACACAATTAATAAAGCCGGGCGTGGTGGTGCACTCCTGTAATCCCAGCATTTGGGGAGGCAAAGGCAGGCAGATGATCTCTGTGAGTTCGAGACCAGCCTGGTCTACAAACACTAGGAATTATTCCTCTTTGGTATCCATTACATGGCCTTCCCAGTGCCCTTCCCAATCTGTCTTTCATGGAGGCCAAGGCCAAATCTCGAAGGCCCAGCTGGGGCACTGAAGTCTGTTTGCTTGTCTGTGTGTTTGCAGTGCCAAGTGCTCTGTCACTGTGCGACATCCCCAGTCTTGCATGGCCTTTCTGTAACTCGCTTACCTGGTGTGTAAATGAAGGTGATACAGTACATACAGTGTGTGCTAGGTGAGGTTCCTGGGAGGCTGGGAAGAAGCAGCAACAGGGACTTCATGCAACTTTAAGGAAGGCACTCGTGCAGAGAAGCCATGCTTACTCAAAAGCATGGCTGATGACGTGCCAGGACCTCCTGGCTCCCAGCTCACTAGCCATGCTGGCCACCCACTTTCCACCAATGAAAATCAGCCTGTACTGGGGTTCAGGCTCCAGGCTCTCTAAGCACAAGCCCTGCCTCTTCCCAGGGAGGGGACCCCCCAGGCTTGAGTAGAGGACAGCTCCCTCAACATTGCTCACTGCTCCCTTGCACCCTCCTCCACCAGGATAAGGCAGGGCTATCTCCTTGTGACCTTGGCTGCCTCCACCAGTAGCAAAAATGTGTTGCCTGCCAGGTGAGCCCCCTCTTGTGGCCACACAGGGATAGGACTATCCAGCCTCAAAGGAGAGGAGAGGAAGGAAAAGGCCAGGCTCATTCGTTGGGTCCGGGGCATGATAAGAAATTGCTCTGCACCTCCATTGACCAGCTAGCAGAAAGCAAAACAAACCAGCATCCAGGCTGAGCAGAAATACCAGGATGCTCAGCTGGTGTTGAATGTCAGAAAACCGAGAAATCCCATCTTAGAATAAGTATGTCATTCTTAAAGCTACGAAGACCGAGAATGCATATTCAGTATTTATAAATGAAACATTATTTGTCTTCTACACGAAATGCAGGCCTAATTGGGCATCCTGCATTTGTGTTTTGATTTGATTTGATCTATTTAAGTCAGGGGTAGGGACACAGATGTATCAAAGTATAAATTTGGAGGTCAACGGAGAGCTTTTCAGGACTGTTCCCTCCTTCTCCTTTGTGGGTCATGGGGGTAGAACTTCGGTGACCAAGTCTGGTGACAAGTGCCTTTACCCACTAAGGCATCTTGCCAGCCCATGATTCTTTTGTTTTGTTTTGTTTGCTTTTGCAATAGGGTCTTGCTGTGCAGCCTGGGTGATTCTCCTGCCTCAGCTTCCCAAATCCTAGGATCACGAGCATTCATTTTCATGCCCAGCTCTCTGGCAGCCCTACCATGCTGCCTGGAAGTTATGGAGCCCTTTGTCACATCTCAGTCTCTTTTATTTAGGTTCTGTGCTTGGCAGACACGACTTTCCCCAACAAGAAACAAAAGCAGTCCGGGGTGGAGTGGCGGCATAGGGCTGAACAGTTAGTGGCTGGGGTGTGTCACCTCATGCCCTCTCCTTCCGAGGGGTATGGGAAGGAAGAGTGTCTTTCCCCTCAGTCCTCAGTATCTGGGTGACGTCAGGCTACTTCTTTCTTCCAGTCCCAGGTTCTGTAGCTCCTGCGGTGGTTAACCGTGAGATACTAGTCTCTCAGTAGTGAGGGACAGTGAATGGCCAGGGTATCTCTTTAAGCAGAAGGTACTCTAGACTCGGAAGCCAGAGAGGCTTTGGAAATCACTCAGGTGACCGGTCAGGCAGGGTAGAGACGTAGCCCTCGAAGCATCTACTGTGCTCTTTACAGGCTTCCCTTTACATAGCCTCCTTCACATCGGCCTGGCAGACAGACAGCACCACCCGAGAGCCATCTGGGAGCCTCCTGTGCATCTCTAGGTGCCCAGACCTCTTGAATGAGCATCAGGGGAGAAGCCCATGAACTACACTGTATGAGCCCCCATCCGGGGCTTTTTTGCACACAGAAGCCTGACAGCTGCTTTGACGGAAGCCTTGGCTCTCTGGTTCTGTACTTTGGAGCCGTGTGATTGTCCTAGTCAGGGTCACTATTGCTGTGATGAAACACCATGACCAAAAGCAACTTGGGGAGGAAAGGGTTTACACGGCTTAAACTTCCACACCAGGGCAGGAACCTGGAGGCAGGAGCTGACGCCATGGAGGGGTACTCCTAACTGGCTTGCTTATTTTGTCTTGCTCAGCCTGCTTTTTTATAGAACCCAAGATCACCAGCCG